AGTAGTTTTAAGTAGTTAACCATGTCTCAAAACAGCAGAAATAGCCAGGGTCTGGCTGCAGGGTTCAGAACGCAGATGAGACGGTGCTCACAGAACACCCTATCTTCTGCAAATATAATAAGTTAAGTGCTTGGCCTCTGAAAAATAACGCATTTTATTTCTGTATGAAGCAGGTTTACTAGCAGGCAGTGCTATGGAAATAAAACCACTGCTCTGACACCATATCACTTGAAGCAAACTAGAAGCTCAGTTGCACTAGTTCAGTTTGAAGCAGGGACAGGTGCATAAATGAAAAGCTCATCTTAGCTGTGGAAACTTTACGGCTGAGCATCAGGCATCAAGTGATGATAGGAATGTGCCTCCTTCTGACACAGAGCCAGCAGCTGTGGATGTCAAGCCAGAGTAAAGACAGAGAATGAAAAGCTGTTGTGTGATAGAAAGCTATTTCCAAAGTGACTAAAGCTCCGGAGCTGAATCCGGTTTGGCAGAGAACTGTAATCCGCATTTACTGCCTCACTAAGCTATCGGTAACGCACACGTGGAGCAAGGAGCCAGCTTTGACGGCACAGCAAGGCTCAGCAGCTCACCACCACCCTCTTGCGGGCACCGAGCAGGAGACAAGAGTTAAAAAACGAGCAAAGTTCATTATCGCAGCACGGCTTCAGCTAACCACTCAACAAAACACATGTTCACGCATTCCTAATACCACTGATCTCTTGCTGAAAGCATAATACAGGGGAACACATGTAAAAACATCTGCTAAAAACCAAAATCAATCACATAAGTTAAGAAACAGCAATAAGCAAACATCTAACTAGAACACCAGAATACAAACTCGCACAAGATGCCTCCCCTTTGATTGACATGGCTGGCATCAACCCGGGAGGAGCATTCTCATACAAAGCCAAGAGAGGTCACACTTCACCTTGCAGTTGGCATTTGCAGAGCTTGCTCCCCATGACGTCACAAGAATAGAGAACACATTCATTCCTCTTCCCAGGCAGAGAGATCCTTGAAGTTCCTTCCTTATGATGGAAAGAATAACTGATGGGGTTGCCAAGACCAAAAGTCCACAGCTCAGAAAATTCCTCTTGCAAACCAGCAAAGGGAAAAATAAGGTTTTGTTGGTTTGAGGGGTTTCTTTTGATAAGCAAAAGCCCTGGTAGCACAATGCAGACAGTTTTAGCCTCAGTTCAGTCGTAACTCCCAAATCTGTGGCAACACTGGCTGCACAGTTTTCTCTGGCCTTGGCACTATGCAAATAAAGCCAGAAGCAGTCTCTCCTTATCGTAACTATGAAAAGTTATAACAGAACATGTGTTTTCATGTGCTCAGTCAAAAAATTCCCCTACTGAGGAAGTTTTCTTGCTGGTAGCTTCCTGACAGCAGTTGTCTTGGCCTCAATAACATTTGGGATGAAGCCTCCAAACGAGATGCTACAGTAGCAGCACAAGGAAAAACTATCTGACCACAGACTACACATAAACTTTTGGTTTATGTTATAAGCCTTTCGACCAACAGCACCAGGACCAGCCACCTGAAGAGGGCAGGGGAAATTACCTCCACATCTTCAGGGCACCACATCCAGGCTGCAGTTTGATGAACACTTTCTACCAGAATTGGCACTGGAATAAAGTTAGAAATCGTAGAATCATAGAACAGCCCAGGCTGGAAGGGTCCTCAAAAGATCACCTGGTCCAGCCTTTCACAGGAAAGGGAGCCCAGATGAGATTATCTAACACCCTGCCCAATCGCATCTTGAAAACCTCCAGTCATAGTCTACTACATCCCTGGGGAGGTTGTTCCAGTGATTGACTGTTCTCTCTATAAAAAAAAAAATATTTCTTACATCAAGATGAAACCTTGCCCAGTGCAACTTGTACCCATTGCCCCTTGTCTTCTCCATGTGGCTTCTTGTGAAGGAAGAGCCTCCATCCTCTTTGTAGCTGCCCCTTAACATCGGAATACCGTGATGTAGTCCCTGCTGAGCCTTCTCTTCTCCAGGAAAAAAGAGTCCCAACTCCTTCAGTCTTCCCTCATAGACTGTTCTATGTTCTCCAGCCAGCCCTTTGATCATCTTTGCTCTTCCTCAGCTCCAAGCAACTTCTCCCAGCCTCCACACCGCCTCCAGCTTTGTGTCAGCCAGTGCTTTGTCAGCCATATAACGAACCAGACAAGACAACCAATTTGGCTAAAAACTAAATCAGAAATACTTTTTTTTAGATGCAATAGCTTATCAGTCAACACACAGCTACACATACAGGTAGGCTGACAAAAAGCAAGAGCAGAGCTGCTTTCTGGCAGCAGTACCAGCTCAAAGTGTTCATCAAGATACACTTTGCAAATCTGAAAAAGAACATCAGCATAGCTTATCCATGCAAACTGCAATTTTCTCATTGCTCTTCATCAGAGAAGATGAAAATCTTCCATTTCTCTAGAATATCCAACATCAACACTCCACAGAAATAAGTGCCAGGGGAGACAAATACCAATTTGACAGAAAACAGGCTCAGCTGAACGACATAAAGACAGAGGAGAAATGCTTTGCAGGCAGCATCGAAAGGTGCCTGCACACACACATGTCAAAACAGGTGGATCAGAAGCTGGCATTTGTGCAATTACCACATGCCGGCAGCACAGACCATATTCTAGATCAGTTCCATTCCATGCCCTATATAGTATTTACCAGTAACAAACTCACCCACAAGCCTATTACAGGAATCAGAGTATGAAAAGACACTAGAAACAGATTTAACAAAAGATTTATTTCATGTGGCCTAGGCAAAGCAGTTTCAGAGGTGAATTATATAGAAATGACAGAAAAACCTCTCAGACACAACAACTTCTGGGCTGGCCCAAGAGGCATAAATGTTTGGGGATTTAAACAATACGCACAGTGACCAGAGGTTTGCTAGAACCACAGGAGTTTTGCAGTACGCATTCGGTTTAACAGACTTAGGCAGCAGTCGGCCTGCCACGGTCCTCTGAAGACTGCTTCATCCCACTTCAGACAATCCTACCCAAATACCTTCAAATCTTTTGTGGCTATCGTAGTCCTCTGAGCAGGGGATCTCCACGAACTTGTCCTGAAGGCTCTCGCTGTGATGAGCCAGCACCTCTGTGACCCCATCCTCGGCGCTCAGGTAGCTCCAGCTCAGGAGGGCACCAATGGCAGCAGAGGAGAGGAGGAACGCTGTCTTCAGCCACCTCCACCGTGACTCCTGCTGGCCTCTGCTCTTCTTGGCACTAAGGAGGGAGCACAGCGCCAGCCCCGCGTGAGCAAACGACCCGCTCCCGAGCCGGCAAGGAACCGCTTTGGCCGCTACCCCGCCCGGTACCGGGGAGACCCGGTCAAGGGCCAGGACCGGTACCCCGGCCGAGCCCTCGTTTTGCGGATACACATACGCATCCATAAACACAGGCAACTTTTACCCCTCTTTCATGCCCGGAGGTTACAGGCCGCCTTCCGACAGGAGCTCCCACAGGAG